GATCCGCGAATATCGCAGGACAAACGCGAGCAGAACAAGAGACTTGCCAAGACCCTGTTTATTGTAACAGCAACTTCTGTCGTCACGTGGCTGCCATTTGCTGTTACGTTCGTTTTACCACATCATATAAGAAATCACTACTACTGCGCCGTACACAGTGCTGGTTGCGTGGGACGTTTTACCCAGTTGGCTAACTCCTTACTAAATCCGATGATTTACTGTTTTCGTATGCCAGAATTTAGTAAGATTGTGAAACAAGATTTGTTTAGGCGTAGCGGAAGAGCAAATATAATGAATGTTCAGTCAGGTGAAACGTTTTCATTGGCGAATATGGCAGTTGCTGTTTGTGAATGAACTTTCAGGTGTCTTTTTGGATCGAAGGAAACAGGCAACTTGGAAATAGCATGTTATCATAGCTTTATGATGTAGTAAACTGCTTTTAGCAGCGTGCTTAAATATGAATAACCCTTTCCAAATAATTTTTTCTTTGCATGTGTGCAGGCAGTCAGGCCGATACTGAAAACTTCATGATATGGAGATACCAAAGAAAAGGTCAAACAAATGAAATGTGAAAGTATTGACTAACTGCGGTGATCGGATTGTATGTAATCTTAATACAGTCTTTTTTAACTTCTTTTTATTTCTACTTCCGCTCAGGAAAATACAATATGAACAATGGCGGAATGTACTTTTCGAGACTATAACTTTGCCTATTTAAAACTGTTTTCTGCTCTAGGTTAGTTGCCACGAATGCACAACATTGCTTTCATATTCAATGCAAACAATATCGTTCGAACAACTATATATATGATATTATGACTTCAAAAGTGCGAACACCCACATAAGTAAGATATCGAGAAAAGATGTGAAAATAATAATAAAAGTAAGGAATATATTTATATTTAATTAAGATGAATGTCAGTTTTCCCCTCACTCTCTTATCTTGCTTTTTGTACTCTTCTACTTTTTTTTCATCGCTATAACATGTTCTTCGTTCAAAATTTTGGCGGAAGTTTTTTTTACGACGGAAGATTTCAATTGGACTTTCCAGAGCCAATCTCCGATTGTCGTGTAAAATAACAATTCTAGCTAAATTAGATATCTATAGCAGTGCAAAAGACTATCCGATTTTGTTTTCCTAGGGAATAAACTGCCGCGCTTTTGTAATTTTGACAGTGGCTAAAATTTAGGTCACGCTCATTAACGATTCTTCGGCGATATTTGGCACCACGTGAAAACCGTGGTATTAAGTGACAGAAGTGTAACATATTTCAGTCAACTAATAAGGGCATAAAATTATTGTGACATAGGTGGAGTTAGGTTAAATTAAGCGTGCGTTCCTATTGGTTGATTTATGGAGGCGTGGCAATGCCTAGATCTAAATTTTGCCGGCGGGCAACAATAAAGTAATGCGCCCGCTCTTCCACAAGCCACAGGCAACTGGACTTAAAACTTTACACTAATTTCCAGATATCTGACAAAATACTTAATCACTGGTCCCTTGAGAAACAGCTAGTTTTGTTTCCCAGGAATCTCGATAGAAGACGTACGAAGTTTTCCAGACTCATCCAAAGTTGCCCGAAATTTTGGCTATTTAAGACAGCTTGAAGAGCCAAAATCATGATGTGGTGACATCTATATCTCGAAAAAAAGAGCTGATAAGGGGCTTGTGATTTTCATTGTTTTCAAAGGTCATCTCCCTAAGAGGGTTTATTGTTCTTGTGACAGCCACAAAAGGTGAAATATTGTAGAGTTGTCAGTTACGCCTCTTTTTCAATTAATTTTTGGCACAATCATGATGACTTTCCGATGAATGTTGACATTGCGGAATCTATGATTTGCCTTCATCCAGCACTTTCATTGACGAGTTCTTGAAGGCCAGTGATTACTTTTAAAGTGTGTCACCTGACTGCCTTATGGAAAAGCAGCCGGAAAACAAAAAGTTTTTTAATTAATTTTGGCACAAATAATAGTTCATGACAACTGTTCAAGAACTTTTACTTTGCTTAATGCAGGAACCTATAATCCGCCATTAATCTCATCCTTCAATAAATAAGAACAAATGATCTTCACTCCGAACTACGAAAATTTGTAAAATTACTGCAATTTTAAATAAAAAAAGTGAAATAAAGCATGAAATATTCTAAGGCGCTTTATACCAGGTTCAAGGTCTTGGAAAAGCCGGAAAGAATACTCTCTGGGACTAACAGTTGTTTGCTTTTGGTAATTTTCTTCTTTTTTTTCTTCTTCTTCTTCTTTTTAATTGAAGAATATATCAACAAGAAAGAGATGTAAGTCTGACATGATTTTCCGCCATCACTTTCCTTACAGTGTGTGAAGATCAAATAAAGTTATTCCTGGTGCTATATGTGCGCAATATTTAGGAATTATTCCACGAACACGCGTTGGCTATAATCATCCCATATTCAACAAGAGTGAGTAGAATAATTGCTTTATTATAGAAACGCCCTCAAAATATAGAAAGGTAAAATAAAATAAAATAAAAATAGAAACGCCCCCAAAATTACGGGTACGCCTACCATATTTGTACAGCATGGCCTTATTACCGATATATAATGATTACTGAGCCAAGGAAAGCTCTTGGATTGCATTATCCAGTGATTCCTTTTTTTTTTAATAATTTAAATTATACTATGAAGACTTACTATGAACCTTATTGTTGCTTTTATTTTATTTATTATAAAATCAATATAGCAGAAGGCTTTCCTGACGTAAACCGAGTAATATTAGGGTACATTATTCACGACACCTATTATTGGGCCAGACGTAAAATGTGAGGGAAATAAGAATTTACTAATACAGCTGCTGACTTTCGGCCTCGGATAAGAACCGAAAAACTCGAAGGCAAGATAAAGTTGATTTTATTGTCTTCTTTTGAACGAGGAAGTAGATACTGCTTAAGTCAGTATTGAAAGAAACTTCAGAATTCAACGTTTACTAAGGAAAGATCTTTCCATACGATGGTTAGCGATTTGATTGATATATTTTTTTTTTCCTACTGGAGCAAGATGACGATTTCAACAATCATGCCACATACACTCAGTTTGTCAAACTTTGTAGTACAGCAAAGCCTGCCATGAGATCCAGCCAAAGTTTATTTATAGGTTGAATTTAGGAGTTGATAAAATTACCTATAGGACTTTTAAACGTGATATTCTCAATCCCTTTTAGGAAGTACAGGAAATCTACAATGTGCGAAACTGCTGAATTATTTCCCTGGATAGCTGTCTTTGCTGTCGAGTTCCTGGTTATCATTATTGGAAATACCATCACCATCTTTGCCTTTTGGAAATTGAGATCCGTTTTAAAAAGAACTTATTACCTTTTGATCAACCTAACAATAGCTGATGTTACTGTTGGTTTAGGCGTTATAAAACTTGTGACCAGCAACATTTTAAGACTAAACACCAATGAAGAACCAGGATGGGCCAGATATATTGCTATGGATGTTTTTTTCTGGAACCGCTTCAATAACATCTTTGTTACTCATCGCTGTAGAACGATTCTTCGCCATTGTTTTTCCATTTCGTCACAGGGTATTGACTAAACGTGTGTACGCATATTGTATTGCTGGGGTGTGGATAAAGTCTGTAATTATTACAATGATAACAAAGATGCCCGAGTTTGTCAGAAATTCGATTTTGGCAAGTATTTGTCGCTGGATTCTCGTCTCGTTTACCGTCATTTGTTTGATCGGTATTTGCTCTTTGCACACAATGATGTATGTGTATTCTAGAAAAGGAAATCCTCGAATACGTCGGGACAAACGCGAACAAAACAAGAAGCTGGCTAAAACCTTGTTTATTGTAACCATGCTGACGTTAATTGCTTGGATTCCACTGGCAGTTGCCACCGTTTCTCCTCAAAGATACAGTGATCATTGTGTTATACCTATTTCTCTTTTTGTTGGTATATTTTTGCAGTTGGCTAATTCCGCTCTTAATCCAGTAGTTTATTGTTGTCGAATGCCTGAGTTTCGGACTGTTCTTAAGCGAAAGTTTTTCAAGTGTAGAAACACAACGGTGAATATTCCATCGATTGACAGGCGTTTATCAGCAAATTTCCTAGAGCTTCAATGTGTTTCTAACTATAACTAAGGTTAAATCTGACAGGCCTTATAAATTAAANACTTACACCGACGGTGCCCTATCTAAAAACAATCATCCTGCTAACGCTGCAAAGACTATCAGCACAAAAGAATGATCTTATGTGCCAAACGTTGGTTTTATTTGAACTGTTAATAAACCGGCGTGAATAAAGATAAAGGCTTTCGATAGACTTGATAACAGAACGCGAGGAGCTTTAAGACGAAGGTATGTTAACTTTACATAAAAAAGCGAGAAAAAAAAGCTACCAATTTGGATTCAAAGGCCATAGACTCGGCTTACTTTAACGTACAAAACTAGCAAGACATCATCGAAAATAGTTTTTCTGACGTTAGGCCTTCCAAACAACATTGTTTGAACATTTTCTCTTTGCAAGTCACAACAAGAAAGTCAGGGCATTGAATGGCCTTTACAAACTCGTAGACACACACGCACATGTACACCATGGACACAGCATTATTAACATCAAACATACAGATAGCTAACATTTAAAATAATGTGAAATTACCAGATGACAAACGAAATAGAATCCCGTGCACAGTTAATCTAAAGCTGATAGATCACGTGTTCGGTTAAGGAAATGGAGAATTGATTATTATTTTTTTCGCCCATATAATGACAAAAAGAAACTTTTCTGTGATAGGAAATATCAATGCAACTATGAGGTGCAATACTGCAGAATTTATCTTCTGGACCGTTATCTTCGTTGTAGAATCCTTATTAATTATTGTGGGAAATATTATCACCATTGTTGTTTTCTGGAAATTGAGATGCGTCTTAAAGAAGACTTATTGCCTTTTGATGAACCTAACAGTGGATGATTTAATTGTTGGTTTTTCCGCCATTGAACTGATCGTGAACAGTAGCATTTAAATACTGAAAAACTCTGAAGAATTGCGTTGGAAAGGATTCATCGCCCTAAATGCTTTCTCTGGGACTGCTTCGTTGACCACTTTGCTGTTAGTTGCAGTGGAAAGGTGCTACGCCATTGTTTATCCCTTTCGTCACAGAGCATTAAGAACGCGGATCTACATAAATGGTATTATCGGGGTGTGGCTTATGTCCATACTGATAGCATTTATAAGATTGTCGCCGAAGGTTTTCTCCAATTCAGTTGTTACCGTCGCCTCTCCTTGGATTTTGACATGTTCGTCTGCAATTGGCGTGTTCGCTATTTGCTGTTTGTACATAGTGATTTGGAAGTTATCAAAGAAGGAGGATCCGCGAATATCGCGGGACAAACGCGAGCAGAACAAGAGACTTGCCAAGACCCTGTTTATTGTAACAGCAACTTCTGTCGTCACGTGGCTGCCATTTGCTGTTACGTTCGTTTTACCACATCATATAAGAAATCACTACTACTGCGCCGTACACAGTGCTGGTTGCGTGGGACGTTTTACCCAGTTGGCTAACTCCTTACTAAATCCGATGATTTACTGTTTTCGTATGCCAGAATTTAGTAAGATTGTGAAACAAGATTTGTTTAGGCGTAGAAGGGCAAATATAATGAATGTTCAGTCAGGTGAAACGTTTTCATTGGCGAATATGGCAGTTGCTGTTTGTGAATGAACTTTCAGGTGTCTTTTTGGATCGAAGGAAACAGGCAACTTGGAAATAGCATATTATCATAGCTTTATGATGTAGTAAACTGCTTTTAGAAGCGTGCTTAAATATGAATAACCCTTTCCAAATAATTTTTTCTTTGCATGTGTGCAGGCAGTCAGGCCGATACTGAAAACTTCATGATATGGAGATACCAAAGAAAAGGTCAAACAAATGAAATGTGAAAGTATTGACTAACTGCGGTGATCGGATTGTATGTAATCTTAATACAGTCTTTTTTAACTTCTTTTTATTTCTACTTCCGCTCAGGAAAATACAATATGAACAATGGCGGAATGTACTTTTCGAGACTATAACTTTGCCTATTTAAAACTGTTTTCTGCTCTAGGTTAGTTGCCACGAATGCACAACATTGCTTTCATATTCAATGCAAACAATATCGTTCGAACAACTATATATATGATATTATGACTTCAAAAGTGCGAACACCCACATAAGTAAGATATCGAGAAAAGATGTGAAAATAATAATAAAAGTAAGGAATATATTTATATTTAATTAAGATGAATGTCAGTTTTCCCCTCACTCTCTTATCTTGCTTTTTGTACTCTTCTACTTTTTTTTCATCGCTATAACATGTTCTTCGTTCAAAATTTTGGCGGAAGTTTTTTTTACGACGGAAGATTTCAATTGGACTTTCCAGAGCCAATCTCCGATTGTCGTGTAAAATAACAATTCTAGCTAAATTAGATATCTATAGCAGTGCAAAAGACTATCCGATTTTGTTTTCCTAGGGAATAAACTGCCGCGCTTTTGTAATTTTGACAGTGGCTAAAATTTAGGTCACGCTCATTAACGATTCTTCGACGATATTTGGCACCACGTGAAAACCATGGTATTAAGTGACAGAAGTGTAACATATCTCAGTCAACTAATAAGGGCATAAAATTATTGCGAAATAGGTGGAGTTAGGTTGAATTAAGCGTGCGTTCCCATTGGTTGATTTATGGAGGCGTGGCAATGCCTAGATCTAAATTTTGCCGGCGGGCAACAATAAAGTAATGCGCGCGCTCTTCCACTAACCACAGGCAACTGGACTTAAAACTTTACACTAATTTTCCTTGAGAAACAGCTAGTTTTGTTTCCCTTGAATCTCGATAGAAGACGTACGAAGTTTTCTAGACTCATCCAAAGTTGCCCGAAATTTTGGCTATTTTAGACAGCTTGAGGAGCCAAAATCATGATGTGGTGACATCTATATCTCGAAAAAAAGAGCTGATAAGGGGCTTGTGATTTTCATTGTTTTCAAAGGCCATCTCCCTAAGAGGGTTTATTGTTCTTGTGACAGCCACAAAAGGTGAAATATTGTAGAGTTGTCAGTTACGCCTCTTTTTCAATTAATTTTTGGCACAATCATGATGACTTTCCGATGAATGTTGACATTGCGGAATCTATGATTTGCCTTCATCCAGCACTTTCATTGACGAGTTCTTGAAGGCCAGTGATTACTTTTAAAGTGTGTCACCTGACTGCCTTATGGAAAAGCAGCCGGAAAACAAAAAGTTTTTTAATTAATTTTGGCACAAATAATAGTTCATGACAACTGTTCAAGAACTTTTACTTTGCTTAATGCAGGAACCTATAATCCGCCATTAATCTCATCCTTCAATAAATAAGAACAAATGATCTTCACTCCGAACTACGAAAATTTGTAAAATTACTGCAATTTTAAATAAAAAAAGTGAAATAAAGCATGAAATATTCTAAGGCGCTTTATACCAGGTTCAAGGTCTTGGAAAAGCCGGAAAGA